GGGAGAGACAGAGAGGGGGGAGAGGCACACCGACACCAGCCAGCCTCAGGACAGCACTGCTAGAGCACCACAACTCAGGCTCAACCACATCACAGCACAGATCAAACAGCAATATCTCACACACTGGGACACACACACACAAACACAACAAACTGGAATGCTACAGAACCCTAAACACGATACATGCTAGCCGAATATTTAACCAGGATAAGAAGCAGCAAAAAGAAACGGACCCTGACGAAGTACAGGCTCAGTGACCACAGCCTGGCCATAGAAACTGGGCAACACAGGCAGACTTGGCTGCCCAGAGAGGACAGGCTGTGCTCCCACTGCCAGCGGGGAGAAATAGAGACAGAGGTGCACTTCCTACTGCACTGTGACAGATACTCTGGGATTAGAGAAACATTCTTCCCAAATTTACACAGCTAAACCCAGAATTCCCACACATGCCAGAATCACAACTGGTCCCAATCCTACTGGGAGACAGAGGAGGGAACTCAGTTGAACTGGCAACCCAGTAAGTGATCTGCTGTCACAGCCTGAGGAACAGTGAGTCTGTCTCTCAATAATACTCCATATGTCTATATGTAAATATTTTATGAGATGTCATTATTGTAAATGTCTGTAGATGTTCTATGTTCACTGTATTTGGCTTTGGCAACACTGATTGTACTCATCGGTCATGCCAATAAAGCACCCAGAATTGAATTGAGAGGAAAGCGTGAGGGGAGAGAGGCACACAGACAGGGAGACAGAGACAGAGAGAGGAGAGGGAATGAGGCAGAGACAGGGAGATACAGAGAGAAGAGAGAGAGAAGGAGGTAGAGAGGAGAGAGAATGAGGCAGAGAGAGGGGAGGCACAGGGAGGGGAGAGAGGCAGAAACTAGAGAGATCGGGGGACAGCTGTGTTCCAGGAAGAGGAAAAAACGCAGTGAGGTGTGAGAGTGTGTAAACTCAGCACTCGTACCTCGTAGCTCTGCCACCAGTTGGGCACATTGGGCCTCAGCTTCTGGTCACAGACCACCTTCCGCATCTCCTCGATGGAGGGGTCAGAGGGCACCAGGTCATAGTAGGGCAGCTGGTACTCCTCATGGATGCCTGGGAAGAGCAGTGACATCACAGGTCAGGGGTCAGCTGGCAGACGGCGGCTGGGCTCCCTGGCCACAGCGACACCCTATCCCAGCAAGCTTCAGCCCCATCGCTTACCGCCAGCATTGCAGCGGCGTGCGATCTCCCAGTACACCAGCCCCAGGGCGTAGATGTCCGCGCACTTGAAGGAGTCGAAGTGCTTCATGTTGATGGTCTCGTCCAGGACCTCGGGGGCCATGTACCTGTGGAAGACGAGCAGGGTGGCACAGGTCATCAAGCGGAGCGTGGTCAAAGAGTTCTTCCCGTCACAGAATTCCCGTCACCTGGCACAGAGAGACTATTTCATCTCCAGTGTGGAAGAGGCCCATTCCGAGGACATCCCTCTCGGCAAGAGAAGGTCCGGTCCTGGTTTTTAACAGGTAACTGTATCCACTACTGTTGTCAATGGCAACAGCCTCTGCCACCGTTGTCAAGAGCAACAGACTCAGCCACTGTAGTCAATGGCAACAGGTTCACTATACCCGCCGTTATTCTGGTTTCAGCACTGTTCTACAAGCCAGACTTCAGCTCATTTCAGAAAACGGAAAACATGTCACCCTTTGACCTTTGCTTTCCTTTTTTAACCACAGCCGCACTGCAGAACCCGGGCTTGTTTGAGAGGGACTGCGTCTCTTACCGCTTGGTGCCCACGCGCTGGTTGGGCGCGATGTCGATGGTGTCGGTCACAGACTCGTGCCGCACGGCCAGCCCCAGGTCGGCGATGGCGCAGGTGCCGTTCTTCTTCACCAGGATGTTCTTGGACTTGAGGTCGCGGTGGGCGATGCCAGGCTTGCCTGCGGGAGGGGGGCACAGTGTCGTAAGCAGTGTGGCATAGCCCCCTGCTATCCCAGAAACACCTTCCCCACAGTCTGTAGTACTGAACATGAGGCATTCACTGCTTGTCAAGGGCAGCTAACAAGGCATATAGCCATCGTCATGGCTGGTGTGGATTCTAACACTGTGAGTCCCGATCACGGACGTCCACACTCACGCCATGACAGCAAGGCCAGTGGGCAGACCAGCTCCAGCACCGCGCCAGAGTCGAGGGCACACCGAGGGGCGGGGGTGACCCGTCCTCAGCGGCACCGCTGATGCCCGGGAGCAGATTACCGAGGAGGAGGAGGGGGCGGCTTCCTCACCCCCGAGGAGAGAGGCTGCTCTGTCCAGAGAGGTGGGAACAGGTAGTAGCACACCAGGCCTAGACCCTACGTGTGCTGTTCCAGGGCACTGCAGGCTGGTGTTGGCGACCTCACGAGAGGCACGGCTGTTAAAAACAAACGCGCAGGATGCGTCTTCGAATATCTCTTGGCAGGCATGCCTGCGGGAGGACACAGCTGGATGGCCAAACAGCCAGAGCCCCGCTGAGGTGCTACTGTGCTCCCTGCTGGAGGTGGACAGGCCGCCTGTGAGGGGTGCCCCCGAGGCGTTAGCAGGGCAGTGTAGACACAGTACTGGAAGAGACCCGTATGTGACTGCGGGTTTGTGACTACCAGGCGGAAACGTGTGCTCTCGTGTAATCGCTCACACGCGCGCCTCCGCTCACATTCTCGGGCGCGAACCGGTGTTCCCCCTGGGGTGCCGGGGCAGGTCGCCGACTCACCCTGCGTTCCCAGGATCTCCATGTGCAGGTGCGCCAGGCCGCTGGCGGCGGACAGCGCCAGCTTGATCATGCCCTCGATGGTGACAGAGTAGCGGTTCAGGTAGTCGAAGAGGGAGCCGTGCTCGTGGTAATCCGACACCAGCCAGAGCTGGGTCCAGGTGCCATTGTCTGCGATGCACAGAGACGGAGAGAGTGATCTATGTAGGGCGTGGAGGTACTGTGTAAAGTCACGCAATACCTCCAAAAAAAGTTTCATCCATTTCTTTTGTAACCATTTTGTCCTCAATTTAGGGTCCTGGGATACACCCTGGACAGGACATCAGTCCATCACTGGACGCACACTCACACCAGGGCTAGTTTTCTCAGAAGCCAGTTAACCTGCCAGCATGTCTGTGGACTGTGGGAGGAAACACAAACATGAGGATAACACGCAAACTCCACACAGACAGCACCTCAGGCTCCAGTGCTGCGAGGTGGCAATACTAACCACTGCACAACCGCGCCGCCATCGATCCAATCGATGCTGAATTACTCAGGTAATTACTCCAGTACCCTACTCATACACTGCTGCTGCAAGCAGCTGTCGTACCCTTGTTGTCGGCGGCGATGAAGCCCAGGATATTCTCGTGCCGCAGCATGATGGTCTGGTAGATCTCGGCCTCGCGGAACCAGGAGCGCTCCTCGCGGGACGAGAAGATCTTCACCGCCACGTCCCCGCCGCGCCACTTCCCGCGCCACACCTCGCCGAAGCGGCCCTTCCCGATGATCTCCTGCAGCACGATCGTGCGCGCCACCGTGCGCTGCACGAAGAGGGGCAGCCCTGGGGGGGGACAGGCGAGAGGGGTCGGGGTCAGAGGGCGGAGCGGAGTCGCTCCTGCTCGGCCCGCGCGCCCGCCAGCGTCCGGCCGCCTGCCTACCGGAGCCGGAGCCCGAGGTGGAGAGGTCGAAGATCAGGTCCTGCAGGGTCTTGTCCTTGGCCAGGTAGAGGTGGTCGCAGGAGGGGTCCTCCACGTCCAGCCGCTGCCGGTGGCTGTAGACGCGCTGGTGGTGCTGGAACAGGAAGACGCCCACGATCAGGACCAGGCACAGCAGGAACACCGGGCCGGCGATCACCGCGGCCAGCTCCACCGGGCCCCAGCCCGCCCCCGGGAAGCCCGGGCTCTCCTGACCTGCGGGGGGGGGGGAGAGAGAGAGAGGGCTGTCATCCTCTGGTGGCATTCAGACATATACTCCCGACTCTCGTTCAGAACGGACGTGGGCATGGAGACGCTTTCTGAAAGAGTACACCTCACCTTGAACTCACAGCAGCTCAGCACACCCACTGCCATGAGCTCGTGATAAACACCCAGGCAGGGAACAGGATAGACACACGACTGGGATCCTGAGATATGATGCTGGAATGAATAACCTCTTGCGAACCAGATAGTTTGAGTCACCAAAAAAGTGTCCATGAGCAGCTGTGTCTGCTTTTGAATTGTGGAAGCTGCTGGTGTGAGAGGCAACCCTGTCGGTGAGACTCTGTCTGGAGGGTGAAGGGAGCTGGCTCTGTGGATTCCAGCACTCATTAAGCTCAAATCTTAATCTGTTAACTCTTACTTTAATCTGTTCCCATCCTGGACCTCAAAGGGCCAGTTTCATGCCAGCTCCACTCTTAATGACTTTAATCAGCTCATTGTCTTAATTGTATAGGTTTTCTTCAGGTAACTCTGCTTTAGAGAGATCTGGGCAACCTGAAAACATGGGAGGCACTTCTTTACACAAAGGGCGGCAGGAGTGGGGAACAAGCCATCCAAGCATGTTGTTGAAGCAAATACCCTGGTGTCTTTCAGGAAATGCCTGGATGAGATCCTGGGATCAACCGACTCCGGATCGCCAAAGCAAGCTACAAGGGTCAAAAGCCCTCCTCTCATTTACATCTGCTCTCGTGTTCTCCAATGACAAACCTAACTGGAGGCGCGCACAGACAGGTGCGATGTGCCACGGACTCCCGTTCACATGCCAGCGCTCCCAGAGCTGTACTGCGCAGGCCCTGCTCGGTGCTGGTTTGCTTGTTTCAGGTTTGACGCTCCTCGAGAACATGCACCACTTCTTCCCTTGGGACGGCGCAGTTCTCAGTTTAACAGCCTCAGGCAGCCCGGGCGGGGGGGTTCGAGAGGACGCACCGGGCTGCGCAGTCACGCACCAGGACGACACTGCCCGTCTCTGGCTCTTCCAGCACCTCCTGGGTGCTAAACACACCCAGCAAGTGGCTGGCTGGGTCCGTGTCCAACGTTCACACTGTAGACGACCGAAACCAAAAGCAGTAAGACGAAACGTCGTTTCCTTTCTTCTCTTTTCAGCCTGGAATAAACCTTTACTTGTTCCTTTGAAACCTCAGACAAGGCCAGCGACTGCGTGACCATCTTAAAAACCAGCGTAGAAGGTGAAGCTGGTAAAGAAGACACTGAAATTTAAAGGCTTTTTTTTAAAAAAACAACCAGCAACCTTAAAATTCACTCATCGAAACAAATCGCCGATTGATAACTGGCTAAAACCTCAAATACGGAAAAGGAGCTGGAACAAAACTCCTGAGGCTTTGTCATCTATGGCGTCTGAACGGCTCAGTGACATCTCATCTGACGTGAGGGAGGTCAGTCCCCTGGCTGGGAGAGGCTGTGAACGCTGGACGGGACTCACCGGCGGGCACCGGCAGGTTGACGCTGTTGCAGAAGTCGGTGTAGCAGCAGTGCGTGTTGAGGAGCCCCTCGGCGCTCAGGCAGTAGAAGGGCTGTCCCGCCGGCACCAGCTTTTCCGCGCGGATGCAGGTGCGGACGAGGTGCTCCTGCCCTTTGATGTTGGAGATGGAGGCGATGCAGGCGCCATCCGTCTCGCACTGGAAATCGGTCTTCTCGCACTCCGTACAGTTGCACTTCAACCCTGAGAGGGGCAAGGAGAGAACAGGAGATGAGCACCAACCCGCGCGCAGTTCACAGAGATCGTGAATGCCCACTGGCCAAAATATTAGGACCTCCTGCGTTTCATAGAGCAGCCCTGCTCAGCAGGGGGCAGTGTGTGTGTGGGGTTCGGCTGGAGGAGCAGGAGACAGACTTTCAACCCCTGATCTCACTCCTGCTGGAAACCAGTGGAACCAGTGGACCTGTCCAGATCGGTCTCCACACACCATCACCCTCCTCACAACCCCAGCTGAAGGCTGTCCTGCTGCAGGAATGGGATGGGACTGGGCTGCAGAAACTTCAGATCCCTGTGGGACCTGGCAGAGGTTTCCAAGAAGTTGGCTGATGAATGTATTAGCTTAATACAGACATGCAAAGTAGTGCAACACTTTTCCTATTCTTGAGGGCCTTTCCTAGACTCACCTTCAATCAGGACTGGGCCACCCCTGGACACTCAGTCCTGTGCCACCCTGAGAGCCCCACCCCGTAGGTGGGGCTGTTCCCTCTGCCCCAGAATGTCCTAACCAGCGCCCCAGCACGGTGACTGGGGACGTGTGCTGCAGGAGGTCATGTCCACCCCATGAGACTGTGGTACCAGCTGTTTGATCTGGTACCACAGCACTGTCCGTTAGAGTATGGGTGTCCCGCTCTGCTCCTGTACAGGCTGTACCCCCTACAGCTCCCCCTTCACCCCCTGGAGCAGCAGTGTCTCTCACCTGCCCTTCCTTGAGACGCAGCTGGGTCCCAGCCTATATGTGAAGCCCTTTGGGATTCTCTGGGATGAAAAACCCATATAACTGCAAGCAATTCTTCTTATAGGTCCGTGACCAAAGACACAAGCCACATGTAAACGTCACACTACTGCTGTTCTCTCCAGACAACAGCAGAGGGCGCTCTCACACTTGAACAGCTGATCAGCTGCAGTACAGCCTGGCCAGCAGAGAGGGAGACTGAGGGCCACTCGAGTTCGATGGAGCAGTGCTGCACAACATGTATTCCAACCTCAGAATCAGCACTTCTCACACGATAAGCGCTCCCTGACAGGACAGGCTGTAGAACCTGACTGACTGCCTCATCCCAGACAGCTGCCACCAGCCTGGGGGTTCAGGTCTGCTGCCGGAGGGTTGTACACGTCACTCCCACAGTGGGAAAAACTCAATAAGTGCTACACTGACACAACAGTCACTACAGGAGCACGATATACACTGGAGTGACGCATCAGGAACTACAGCGACAGAATAAACACTACGCAGACACAACAGATGACACAGTGACACAGTAGACACCACAGTGACAATAGTGACCACTTTCAGCCAGACAGTAACGCTTGCTCCTGCTTCTCCATCTCCTTTGTGAACCACATGCCTACCCTGCACGGGGGAGCAGTGCCAATAGACAGGGTACCCGGAGGTTACTGACCACATCAAGAATGGTCCTCACTGGACATTCGGCCTTAATGGATATGGAGGGGTTTCCCGCCCACAGCTCAGTCCACTCAGATCTCAGACGGTCACTACTGGGATGGGAGACCTCTGAGGAAAACCAGATAACTGCTGCCAGTGGTGCTCTTGGACCAGAAGATGAGAACCGCAGCCCCAGTGCAGCACGAGGGGACACTGCGCTGTAGGAGGCGCTGTCCTTCGGCTGAGATGCTAACCTGAGGTTCTGACTACTTGGTCATTAAAGGTCCAGCCCTGCCGTACAGATCTCTTTAAAGTGAATTCGCTCTTTATATTTTACACTGAACTAACCAAAGTCAGTAGATCTCTGTATTCTAGTATTAATGCAAAACAGTAGCAAAGACCCAAGTGAGCCTTTCCAATCCAACACACTCTCATGTACATGTATTTCTTCACCCGTCAGGAACATTTCTCAGTTTCCCCAAACTTGAACAGCTTCTTTTAAAAAGACCTTAAAGTCCTCTCAAA